ATATATATAAACTATGTTACATGCGTTATATGCGTCTCTAATTATTTTTCCCTAGCAAATTTCAATTGAACCTAAAGCTGCCACGTCAGTTTAATTGGTATGCTAATTGATTGACAACTAAGCAAGGTTACTTTTTAATTATTACAAACTTGAGGTTACATCTTTTCAAATGTTTCTCAATTAATATATAGGGGATTTTTTAATGTATAATCAACCCTAGAACAATTCCAATGGGAAGTTCCACCCATTTGGAATTCTAAATATATATATATATATATATATATATATATATAAATATATATATATATAGATAGATAAATAGATAGTTGTGAAGTCTATTAAATAATGTAGAATTTTATTTAAAATTCTAAAAACAAAATTTAAAAATTTTTAAATAGGAATTTTACACTATTTAGTAGATCCCACAACTATATACACATATACAATTTATACATATACACATATTTATTTTTAGAATTTTAATGGGTAAAATTCTTATTGGAAGTGTTCTTAGACCAACATTATTCCAGTCTTTAGGTCAAGTCCTTAAGGAGATGATTATAAATGCAACAAAACCGAAGAGGATTAAGAGGAAGAAATCGCTAATTAAAAAATGTTTTTACTGTGTTTATATACTATTTGCGGACTCCACGACACATGACGACCCACATTTAGTTTATTTATTTATTTACTTTTTTAAAATACAGAAAAAAAAATCCAAAAACCTGTACACTGATAATGATTCTCTTAGAAGCGAGTCTAATAATCATTTCCCATACATTAAACGTTTAATAGCTTCTGGTTCTTCTTGCAAATAATCAAATTCTTATTCAGGTATTAAAATTTTTACTATCAATAAGAGTATTACGTATACTTGAAAAACAAATTGTGTTAGTGAATTTGTTCAACACGAATGAAGAGTGTTTTCACAATTTAAAAACCAAACATAAATTTAATCTATACTATTAAAATTTGGAATTATTTCAATTATATTGTGGGTGGGTCGCAATAAATAAAATATTGTTAGATTGGGTCCGGCGAAAGTGATAAAGAAGTCAAATTCGCCGAGTTTGACCTTAAAAGTGGCTCTATGGTAACTACTGTTTTACCCTTGTAGGTGTTTTGTGAATTCAAAGCTAAAACGTGACACAGACTCGCTTTTTTCTATTAAACATCACTGAAATCACCTAAACACCCTTATCAACTTGGTGGGTCTGAAACTACTCTTTACAGAGGAAGTGCTGAAATTCCTTCGTAAAAGTGAGGGCTCTATAGTCATTTTGCCTCGCTAGAGTAGTGGTATTAAGAAAATTAAAAAAAAAAAAACAGAAAAACAAAAACAAACAATCATAGAGGCTGATGAAAAAGAGAGATTAGGGAGGGAAGATTCGTGTTGACTTTCCTTCCATCATCTCTGTTTTTCTTTTCATTACAAAACATCAAACAATTTGATCAAACACCTAACGAAAAATATCTTGACGTTGATTCGATCCATCTTCTTCTTTCTTCTTCATCGATCTCACGCGTTTTCACATATATATATAACGTTGAATCTATACCAAAGTTTCGTCGATCCTTGTTAGTGTGAATCAATCTCCCATCAACCATGGGAAACTGTTGCGGAACGACAAAATCATTAACTCAAAACGACAACGAAAACAGCAACAAACCAAAAAAGGGAAAAAAGAAGCAAAACCCATTCTCAATCGACTACGGTCTCCACCACAACGGAGGAGCTCTAAAACTCACCGTCCTATCCGATCCAACAGGCCGTGAAATCTCTCAGAAGTACACGCTAGGTCGTGAGCTAGGTCGCGGAGAGTTCGGAGTCACGTACCTTTGTACAGACAAGGAGACAGGGGAGGTCTGGGCGTGTAAGTCGATACTGAAGAAGAAGCTGAGGACGGCTGTGGATATAGAGGATGTGAGGAGAGAAGCTGAGATCATGAGGCATATGCCTGAGCATCCTAATTTGGTGACGTTGAAGGAGACTTATGAGGATGAGGTCGCTGTGCATTTGGTGATGGAGCTTTGTGAAGGTGGTGAGTTGTTTGATAGGATTGTGGCGAGAGGACATTATACTGAGAGAGCTGCTGCTGATGTTACTAAGACTATTATTGAAGTTGTTCAGGTTCGTCATGGGGTTTTTTTGATCTTTTACGTACTCTTGCTTTGTTGTTATAGGATTTAGAGTCATTTTTTAGTCTAGAAGCTGACGTGACTTTATTTGATTGGTCTGTAGTTGTAATCTGTGTCAGTTTAAGCTCTCGTGTGTTGCTGTTTTCGCTGGTTCTAGTTTTGGACATTGTAGCATTGCTTGAAGGGGGTTTTCTGTTTGATTCACAGAGACTCAAAAAGAATATTTTTTCTTGACATTTTGTGTGTTTTGGATTTATGCAATTGCTAGACTCTTGGGACATTTACTGCAATGTTGTACTGCGTGAAGGGTACTCGCTGTATGCTGCATAGAGACTGAAAAAACATTTTTTTGACATTTTCTGTGTTTTGGTTTAATGCAAATATTAAACTCTTGATTTTGCTCTTTATTTTTATTTTGCTCTTTACTTATCTCTTGCTTTGTTGCAGAATTGAAATGGTTAAAGTCTAGGATCAATGTTATAGGATTTTGAGTCATTTTAGTCTACAAGCAGCCATGAGTGCGTCTGGTAGGTCTATAAGTGTTCAATGTCTCAGTTTAACCTTTCGTGTTAGTTTTGGGTTCTTGACATTATTGGATTGTTGCATTGCTCTGTTTGGTGCATACAGAGAATGAAAGAAGAAACCTTTCTTGAATGTTAAATGTTAAATCTCTTTGGAGTCATTTTTTTTGGATGTGAGATTAATGATTTTCATTGTGATCTCTGCAGGTGTGTCATAAGCATGGGGTAATGCACAGGGACCTGAAACCAGAGAATTTCTTGTTTGCAAACAAGAAGGAGACTGCACCTCTTAAGGCTATTGATTTCGGACTCTCTGTTTTCTTCAAACCTGGTATGTGTTCTGTTTTTGCTTTCTGTTCTCTACTCCTTTGCTGTATGGCAACAATCTTAAACCCTCACTGTTGTCTTCTATTGCAGGCGAGAGGTTCAACGAGATCGTTGGGAGTCCGTACTACATGGCTCCTGAGGTTCTAAAAAGAAACTATGGTCCAGAAGTTGACATCTGGAGTGCTGGTGTTATTCTTTACATTCTGCTCTGTGGTGTCCCACCTTTCTGGGCAGGTTAGTTTTGTCAGTTCTATATTCCCTTACTTCTTGTGGAACATGTGACATGTTTGAAGTGATCAATCAATCTTTTCTCATGTTTGATTATACCAATTTCAGAAACTGAACAAGGAGTTGCACAAGCAATTATTAGATCTCAACTAGACTTCAGAAGGGATCCATGGCCCAAAGTTTCTGAACACGCAAAAGACCTTATTAGGAAAATGCTTGATCCTGACCAAAGGCGTCGTCTCACAGCTCAGCAAGTGCTAGGTATTTTTTTTTTACGGTTTTCTAATGATTCTTATGTTGTGATATGGAATCTATAATAGATAGAAGGGTACTAATAACCTTTCTTTGTTTTGCATAGATCATCCATGGTTACAAAATGCAAAGACAGCTCCTAATGTATCATTAGGTGAAACAGTAAGAGCAAGACTGAAGCAGTTCACAGTCATGAATAAGCTCAAGAAACGAGCACTCAGGGTTATTGCTGAGCATTTATCAGATGAGGAAGCTTCTGGTATAAGAGAAGGGTTCCAAATAATGGACACAAGCGAAAGAGGGAAGATTAACATCGAAGAGCTGAAAATAGGGTTGCAGAAACTTGGCCATAACATTCCACAAGATGATTTACAAATCCTGATGGACGCTGTAAGCTTTTATTTCATCATTACCAAATCTTTGAAGTTACATAACGCAATGCACTGAAGCTTGTAGGCTATCTTTTTTTTTTCTTTTTGCAGGGTGATATCGATAAAGATGGATACTTGGACTGTGACGAGTTCATTGCCATATCAGTACATCTCAGGAAAATGGGCAATGACGAGCATCTCAAGAAAGCGTTTGCGTTCTTTGATCAAGACAATAACGGATATATCGAAATAGAGGAGTTAAGGGAAGCTTTGTCTGATGAAGTTGGTACTAGTGAAGAAGTTGTTGATGCTATTATTCGCGATGTTGATACTGATAAGGTTTGTTTAGCCTCACCATTGGTGAAGATAGTTTGAGAAAACAAGTCAATAACTAAACATTATTATATACCTTTTGTTGCAGGATGGAAGAATAAGTTATGAAGAGTTTGTGACGATGATGAAGACGGGAACAGATTGGAGAAAAGCTTCGAGGCAGTATTCGAGGGAACGGTTTAATAGTATCAGTCTCAAACTGATGCAAGATGCATCGTTGCATGTCAATGGTGATACAAGATGAGAGAGTCTCAATCAGCACTGGAAGATTGAATCAAATGAATGCAAATCTTTCTTCATTTCTTTATTTATTTTTTTTATCTTTTGGGTTTTGCGTGTTCTTACACCACCATGTCAGAGCATCTTACGCATGTAAGCTAGAAGCAATTGTGTGTGTTAGTTCCTGATTGAAGAGCGAGTGAGTATGTTGGATCAAGAGAGAAAAAAGTGTGTGGCCTATGGCTGTGTGTAGATAATTTGTATAAATGTTGGTAAAAATCATCATTAGTGTTTTCTTGTGATAATCTGTCATTTCTTATAACAATTCGAAAATCATATGAGAGAATGAATTTGTTTTCTGATAGATACCTAAGTATCTTATTATTGACTCGGAGGTGATGAAGATGACGTGGCTGGATAAGTAAAGGGTGTAGAGCAAAGCCTTGGGTTGTTTTAGAGCGTTTTGATGTTAGAAGACTTTGAAGAACTATCGGAGGTGACGAGTATAAGTAGAGGAGAAGATGAGGATGAGAGACTTTATGCTTTGTTGTTGTTGTAGAAAGACGATATGTTCTCTCTCAGTCGCCATGAGACTGATGATTGCATCTGTGTTCGCCATGAGAGCATAGTTATAATCATACTCAAGGCTTCATTCATTTTTGTACTTGGTTCGTGTTATCAATAAGAAGACGTTACATAGAGTTTCATAGAGTTCTGGATATCAAGACTCTATCATTGGTGCGGTGAAACGGTTCGGATCCAACCGATGGTGTGACGGTATTTACGACGCGGCGGTAGGAGTTCAAGAGAAGTGATTGTGAGATTGGTAGCGATTGGTGATTCTGATCAGAGAGTTCGTCCTTGATCAGTAATACAATTTTGTAAGTGACGAGAGTTGATTTATGATTTTACAAGCAATTGGTTACGGATTTGATACGATCGAAGTTGTGCGGAGCTTAATCTGGAATTTGAAAGCAATCTAACCTAATATTGTATTATGTTGCGATTGGGATTGGTTTCCATGGGAATCGTGGTGGTTCCGCTGTTTCTTGATGTAGAATTGCAGCAATTGATCTCGTGGATGGAGAATAATTTTCATTGGAAGGGACTCAACAATTTCGAGAAGTTACACATGGCTCATGGATTTATTTAGGGAGAACCTGAGAGGTACATCAATTCATTAAAGCCTATGAGTAGCTGAAAAGAGATGAAGGAAACGTTGCTGCTGAAGTTTGGTGATGATGATGATCCGGAAAAGATGTTATTGAAAGCTGAAGCTGATAGAAGCTACAATTCTCTAATAAATGGTGATATCTAAAAAAGAGGAGCCTTGCAATCACATTCGCATGTTGTTCCTCTGGTAGAGTCGACACTGAAGGTTCCATGTCTCAACCTGGAACAAAACGAGAATGATTCTCAGTTAGGAATGTGGAAGTTGATCATTATCTTGAGTTGCCTATGTTTGATGGCACAAATCCGGATGGTTGAATTGTGAAAGTTGAGAGGTTCTTTTTTTATTATGGAGATAGGCAAAACTAGACCTCGTTTTTCCCTTTTTGGAAGGAGGTGCTCGTCGATGGTCCTATCGGGTGAGGCGCAGAAGGAAATTCAAAGATTGGACTAACTTCAAGTTACAATTACTGGTTCATTTTGGTTCAATTAAAGATTTTTCTTATCCAGTAGTAATTCTGAAAGAATCACGTCATGAGTCTGGTCAAATTGCAGAAGTGGACAATCGAGAATTTATTTCTGAGGCTGTTCTTGACAGAATAGTGGTAAAGCAGTCAAAAACTGAGATGGAATATTATATGCACCATGAAACATTTCTCGAGAGAGATTTACTTCATCAGACTGATCCGAGTTGTGTTTCAGTAGCTGGGAATTACAGGGATGAAGCAGCTGGTAGCAATGAAGTGGAGCATGAGACAGAAATAAAGAAGCAGACTGCAATGGTGGAAGAAGTTTCTAACGCCTCTGTTTCAGGAGGGCACCAGAAAAAATGGATTCATGTATCTTTTCAAGAAACAGAAGCCATACTGAAGATCTCACGTGTTGAAACTGATCATGAAACCGATTTGTTTTGTGAGACTGGTCAGGTTACGAGTTGTTCTGCAGTAGCAGTTCATCTAAAAATGCAATCAAATTTGAGTAATGAACTTGTTCATGAGACTGCATTGGTGAAAATGACAATATCACAAACAGAGGAAGAAGTTTTTGTGAGTTTTGGTGGCTGTCAAGTCCTTGGTTGCTCGTCACCAGAACTAAAGCTCAAGCAAGACTCATTTTGTAATGCCATTCAAGAACCATAAGTAATGCTCCAGAATGACTCACTTTATAAGATTGACCAAAAGGTTGGTTTGAGATGTGAACCGGAATCCATTGAGATTGTGGTGAAAGCTGATTCGTTTATGGAGATTGTATTGCAGGTGACAAAGTCATCAACTACAGACGCGACTGAGGATAATTTATATACGGAGAAGCAACAAAGGTTCCCTAAAGCCTGGAAATTTAAGTTTAAATCCAAGCATTCAGTTTTTATTTTCAGATTATTCAGTTCTTGTTGCTGATGGTTTGATGGCAAGTGAGATTGTTTCCAAGATGGAATTGGCGCAGAAGTGTGTGAAAGTTCTGAGAAAGGAAGACATATCATGGCTGTACAAACATTTCTTGAAATATGAAGCACGCAGCTTGATATAGTTTCTTGTTGGTGACGTCAATTTTCATCTGAAGCACAGATGGCCATTTAAATTAGTTTCAGTTTTGGCATGTGTGTTGGAGCATGTGGTTGCAGAGACATTTTCTGCAGTATCTGTTGTTAACAAGGGATCATTTCACCGAGGGATAATAATCGTTTCAGTGTATTGCTGGACCGGATCGGCGTTGTGTGGCTGTGGGTTTACTCAGATTTCATAATGGCTGTGACAGATACAAGACCAGAAGGTCAGCGATCCCTCGTCATTTTCTTCTATTCAAGCTTGAGGTCAAGCTTATTTTCAAGGAAGGAAGTATACAATTCAGTACTTATTGACTTGTTGTTGGTGAAGGTGCTGATTTGGTGGTTTACAATAGCAAGCAAGTCTGATCTTCTCAAGAAAATAGTTAAGAAGCAGTGGAAAAATACAGAACAGAGTGGACAAGGGATGGGTCTCGTGGAGAATCATGAATCGTTTAAAGAAAGAAGCAGCTTAGTGTTACATGTCAAGATGCATCTACTGCTGGTTCTAATACAACAAAGGCAACAATGGAAAAGGATTTACAAGTCAAGGATGTTCAAATATAAAGAGACACAAAGGAGATTCATTTGTTCAACTTTGACAGTGATTGAAAGATTGATGTTTCAGCAGGAGAGAGGAGACCAGCAGAAGTGTGGGGCTGATAAGTCTGTCTGATGTATCTTTCTTCAGTGGTTTCCTTTCATGCAAGCTTGCCACAAGCTTTTTTCAAAGGGGAAAGTATTGATAGATACCAAGTATCTTACTGTTGACTTGGAGGTGAGGAAGCTGAAGTGGCTGGATAAGTAAAGGATGTAGAGCAAAGCCTTGGGTTGTTCGAGAGGGTTTGTTGTTAGAAGACTTTGAAGAAGCTATTGGAGCTGACGAATATAAGTAGAGGAGAAGATGAGGATGAGAGACTTTATGCTTTGTTGTTGTTGTAAAAAGACGACATGAGTCTTCTCTCTCAGTTGCCATGAGACTGATGATTGCATATGTGTTCGCCATGAGAGCATAGTTGTAATCGTACTCAAAGCTTCATTCATTCTTGTAACTAGATGCATAGTCCCCGCGCAAGCGCGGGGGTTGGATACGTTGTTGATGTTTTGTGTATGAGACTTTGCTGTTTTTTTTTTAACATTTGTTTATCTGGCTTATCTATAATGGTGATGAATGAAACATTAGAAGTCACACAACTTGATTAGTCTGATAAAAGAATAAAAATCGAATTCATATGGGTTGATATTTTCATATTTTATCTTCGTAGTGATTTTATCGAGCATTCCCTTTATTAGTGATTTTATCGAGTATTACTGTTATTAGTGCTTTCATGTAAAAAAAATTATTTAATGGAGACAAGACAAAAAAGGACATGTGTTTATTAATGTAATTTTCTTTCTGAAATTATGTTGTATATATATATATATTTTTTTTTTAATTGTGATGTATATGAGATTTATGGCCGATCTGAATATGTTTTTATTTTTATTTGATGATTATAACTGAATTGAAATGATATTGGAGCTTAGAACATGATAACATTTCTTATAAAAGTATCTAAGATGGTCTCATAAAGTTTCAAATCCTTAAGCCATTTTGTATCCCAACAACCAGCATAAAAAATCATTATGAATCTCCCTAAGCTTTTAGGTATCCCGAAAAGCCCAAATTAAAAAAAAAAATTACATGCAAGCACTGCGTTTCGAACCCGCGCACTCGCGGTACCAACTTCTCGTCACCAACTTACACCACTGGACATGTGTTTATTAGTGTAATTTTATTTCTGAAATTATGTTGTATGTATATATATATATTTTTTTTAATTGTGATGTATATGAGATTTATGGCCGATCTGAATATGTTTTTATTTTATTTGATGATTATAACTGAATTGAAATGATATTGGAGGTTAGAACATGATAACCTTTCTTATAAAAGTATATAAGGTGGTCTCATAAAGTTTCAAATCCTTAAGCCATTTTGTATCCCAACAACCAGCATACAAAATCATTCTGAATCTCCCTAAGCTTTTACGTATCCCGAAAATCCCAAATTAAAAAAAAAAAAACTTACATGCAAGCACTGTGTTTCGAACCCGCGCACTCGCGGTACCAACTTCTCGTCACCAACTTACACCACTGGGCCATTTCATCACTCATCGATAACATTCAATCTTACAAAATGTTATACGTTTTTGTTTTCCCTAATAACACGCGCGAGGCCCGCAAATTTTCTGACGTGGACACGCTGAGGAGCTTCAAAAGTATACTACAATAGATTGGTTCGTATTATCAAAAAGAAGATGTTCCAGAGAGTTTCATAGAGTTCTGGATATCAAGACTCTATCATTTTCACTTGTAGGAGTTCAGAAGTTTGTTGAGCCTTAATTCATTATATAATTATTATGGTAAAAGATTGAAAAAATAGGAAGAACTTCTAGGTAGAGTATGTAAGTTAAGTTATCAATAACTATCATGATGACAAGTTAATTATACTATCATCAACTTTTTCACACATTTCCAGCGTTTTCGCAACAACTGGTTTTACAAAAAAATTATTTTAACAATTAAAAATTTCATACATTGCATCATCATATCTTGAAAAGATCCATATACTAATCTGTGTTGATTAAACTTACCTATGAACGATAAATGATATGCACATGTATACATATTATATATGCAATATATATCAGTACTCAACTCAATCCTAAACCAAACTTGCAGCAAGCCAGAGACATATAAAATCATTGTAGACAGATTCACTCAGTCTGTAGTAACTTATAAAATATCTCATTTATTAAAAAAACACAAAAACGCTTAATGAGAGTTTCATGATGGTGTCATCTATATATAGTGAGAAATTTGTACAAACTTGTATATCATAAGATGAGTTATTTTTTCAAAAATAATAAGATCAAATTGTTAGAACACTATTTTTGCTTAACGTTTTTGCTATTAATTAAATATTATTT